TATAGCCTTAGCAGTGCCTGCGAAAGGAAGACTGTCTTCAGAGTTATTGGTCTCAATCTAGTAGACTGAAAATCTAAACATAGGTTCCCTCCAGCATAAGTCAACATCTGATATATTAGGTGCTGATGTAGTTTTTTTTTTGTTTTCTCCCCCACCTCTGCCCTCTTTCCCTTGTCCTGAAAAGCTCCTGAAGTGTTTTAGTTTGTTGCAATATACGTTCCGAACATTCTGAAATCCCCCGAATCTGCAGCAATACAATTCCCTGCCCAGCTCCCTTTTGCACAGTATAATCTTCAACTGTTGACTTTCCACAGTTCACTTAAAACTAGATTGATTTAGATAACTCCATAATATTTTGATTCTAAGGCCCTCATTTTATCTGTGGACACAAGACTGTAATACAGATTAGGATGAAACATGCTGTGATAAGCTTAAAATGTCTCTGAGGTTCTGCGAGACTGGAGATCACTCAGTAAGTGAGGAAAATGAGTATAATCTGTTTCTGAAGGGGCGATTATAAGTAAGTCTTTATGCTGAAATAGATCTACCTGAAGTACTTGCACAACTGCTTACATTCATATTGTTCCACAGTCTGCCTGAACTTCACTAGAGTGCAGGCTACTTATGCATCCCACTTACTGTGGTGCTATGTGATGCTGGGCTGCAAGGGGATTGCAGTCTTGTCTGATATCAAATGTCAGATGGCATCACAAAAGAAAATAAGAATGGCAAAGGCTGCTAGGCCAGGCATAGGAAACTTCACTTTTTACTGCACTCTGAAATGTAGGGTCTATTCCAGGTTACTGAGGCATGTTCCTGAGTGTGTTCCAGCAGGTAAGTTCTATAGCTATGTGATTTCATGGGCTGTAGAGTTAGTGCTGAGGGTCTGTTTCCACAGGGATATTCCTATGGCCAAACAGGAAATTTGTGGCAGATCACTGCAGCTAATTTGCAATTATTTGCAGGATTAGTGAGTTCTTTCTGTCCCACTGTGAATGTATCCATCTTATCTGAGATTTCAAAATGGTATTTCATAAAGGAATTAAATTTAGTGCTTCCATTTTCTGGAGAGTTTTATGACTTTCCACTTTTAGACTTTCCATTAAGCTTCAGTACAAATTAGCAAGCTGTTTAGTCAATCCCATGCAACAATTCAAAAGCATGCATATCAGGCACATCATTGCCTTTTACTTCATTTCCAGTAATTTGTATTCCTGAAGAAGTAAACAAAATATTTATTATATATGCATAAACTTGTACACACAGAACAGAACTTGCATTATAACTCTAAAGATTAACTAAATTGTTCCTATAAAAATGGCATGTAAGCATCCCATTGAATTTACCTAACAGACATCTGGCTTTTGAACTTCTAGAGTTACTAATAGCTGTAGTGGTTATTATTGGTGCTCATTAGCACTAAATGTAATGAAGCAGCAGCATGGGTGATGGTTTCCACACATGCAAACTGACAAAGTCATAAGAATCAGGAATCTTGGCTTCCATGTTGACTGCATAGAAGAGTTTCCTTCAGCAGGCAAAGACATTTTGTTCATCCTTGCCAAGTCTAATCCCTTTCTATCCATTTTGTCCTGCATATTCTTATGCTAGTCCCATATCTTCTCTAGCGCAGCTTGTCTCGCTTCATTTGCTTTATCTACCCACTCCTTGGGTCTGTTTCTCAGGCTTCTTGACTGCTTTGTAGACTCACTGTGCAGGTTCTGGTCTGGTCAGCCCACTCATTTGTCTCTTTTTCCTAGCATGTGATCATAGTCTCCTCTATGAAGGCTTATTCACTATGTATCTTCCCTCCTTTCCCTCTAGCTTCAGGTCACAGCATTTCCCTCTCAAGCTCCACATTCAATTTTAATTCCTCCATTGTCTTCTCATAGCAGTATTCCTTACTCTTTCAGCCCTGTCTTTGACTAAAGTTTGTGTGTACCACGCACAATGAGTAAGTGGGCTTGCTTTCTTCAGCACTGGGCAACACTGCTTTTTTCTTCAGACCAAAGTGCAACCAAGCCTGGTGCAAAGTTGTGCAAGGAGGGACCCATGGGGTGGTCAGTGCTCATAACTGTAGGGGAATGCTGCGTGCTCAGTGAGGTGAATCGTTAAGATTTCAGCTGCCATTCTGTAGTTAGGAAGAGGAGAAAAATTTTTCAGCGTTTGAAGACAAGAGATGAAATAGATTTCACTGGTTTGAATTTTATTATGAACGTATCTTGCTTTTTTCTGATTCAAATCCACAGATGCCTTGATCTTAGTGTAGATCTCTGCTATAGATATGTATTAACATTATAATGAATGTGTGGTAATTTGGAATTGGTAACACAATCCAAAACTAAGCAAATTTCAAAGTTTCATCTGTTATTGAAATACAGGCAATTTTCAACTTTGAACTCAACAGTACTCAGCTTATTTCTCCTTCCTCATCAGTTATGTTCTCCATTTCAAAGTATTTGTGAGATGCTTACAGCAAGGTCATCAAAACTGAGGCTGAGTTGTCAAAAAATTTTGTAAGCATACATATATTTTTTACTTTCTTCAGTGTTGAAAACATTTTGCTCTATACTTTTATCAAGGAAAGGTTATAGCCTAGAGTTACTTGGAAATCACTGGGGAAAACCGCGATTCAGACTTTTTATTTATCACGGAACATAAATGACAGAATAATTAGTTTGCACTTTTTTTGATCAAAATTCCATTTCTGATTGTATCCTAATTGATTTTTTTCTGACTGTATCCTAATTCAGTTTATTGCTTGCACTTGACTGAGATCTACAATGTTCACGGATAACTTTTATTGTTATTAAATGAAAAACCTATCTTTAAATGTCTTTATCCCACTTTTCTGCTAACTACTCAGTCAATTCTGAGCTCCTTGTCATAGATATGCAGGGAAAACCAGTCTGCACAGTTCTCCAGAGGCTGTGAAATGTTTACAACAGGTAATTAATTCCAAAAGTCTTCTGGAAATGTAAATATCAGCTAAGATATGTAAGGACTGATTTTGGAATATTATGAACTGCAGTACTAATTGCAGATTTTAAATCTGCAGCAATAACTTTTTCAGATGTGGAGGGAAACGTCGCTGATACGTTCCTCTTACCTATATTGTTTTCTAAGATTATACAGCTAAGCTGTTTTACCAGGGAAGATACATGCCTAGTTTTTCCCTTCCTCTCCCTAGACCCGCTGTCCCCGGCGCTGCACCGCGCAGACCGAATTCCTACACCTTCCCACTAGACTGGCCCTGGCTGTCTGCCCACCCCGACTATTTGGCTGCAGCTTTGGTAGTTAATTCCTTTGGGAATCTATGGCCTGTTACTTAAGAATGAAAGGAATCTCCTTAAAATCAATGTATTTGATTTTTAATGCCAACCTTCGATTTGGTTGGGAGATCAGCTGTGTTAATAGCAGAACAAAATGTGTGTGTGTTTAAGGGAAGTACTTTGAGGAAGCAGTTTACATAGTTTAAGTTGCTTAAAGGCTGAGCATAGGTGCATGGTAACCTAGCTCACTTCTGAAGCTATCTTTGTTTCAGCCATTGTTTATCAAGATAATAATTAAAAATAAAATATAAAAATAAAATCATTGTTTATCATTTATTAAGATAAACCCTTCTGAAACAGATTCAGTGCATTTATGCTTCCCTATGCCAAGATATGGGCCTTTCTGTGCAGGGGGAAGAGCTGACAGTAAAATAACTGAGGAATATTCTTGCAGCCACACCTGAGCAGAGAAAAGCAATCCTGCCAGGTGCGTTCCCACACGTGGGGATCTGATTTCGCT